TGTGCAGAATATTGACTCGGGATCTCCTACTCAAAGGCTACTACTCGGATGCGTACTTAGGGGCTTCGCCACAGGCCAAAAACTAAGGGAAAAAGGCTATACAGGGGAGAATATATATATATATATATATATATATATATATATATATATATATATATATATATATATATAGAGAGAGAGAGAGAGAGAGAAAAAATTATAAGGACTGGATGTAAGGAACCTATACGGGAATGAGCTCTATTTATAGGACTTGGAAATGTGTGTCGGGCACATAAGCCTTGTTCGCTCCTCTGGTCTTCTAACATGTGTTGACATCACATTGCTCCACGTCATTCCTTCTAAAAGGCTGCCACATGTCCAACTATTATGGAGCTACGTGTCGCAAGCGTGTGGTGCTAACTCATTTTGACCATTAGAGGAGGGGAATGGTTGACTTGCCACATGGAACTCTCTGGTGCTGCCACGTCGTCAATGTGCGACAGGCATTCTGCGTGCTCGGTTTTCTAGATATTCGGAATGACATAACTTCATCATACGAGCTCATTTTTTGACGTTCTATATATCGTCGGAAAGCTCTCGACGAGATCTATAACTTTCGTTTAGATCGCAACAACTAATTCTCACTCTATCAAAAATTTATATTTTTGTACAGGCTAGCCTGTTATAGATCGCTGCGGAAAGCATAACTCCTACATACTGATTCCGTTCTCGATGTTCTTTATATCGATGGATTCCTATTAACGTTGATATTCAACTCTTGTTTAGTTTATTTTTTTGTAATAATTTTCCATTCTAAAATTCTATTTTTGTACACACAATTTTGTGCCGAATCTTAAAAAAAATCATAACTTCCTCTATAAAAGTCAGATTTGGATGTTTTTTATATGTATGGATTTGCTTTTCCGATTACTACGACTTCCCTTTAGATTATTTATCCTAAATAATCTTCTATATAAAATGTATATTTTAGATTATACTGTAAAGCGATAAACGAGGTGTGACAACTCTCCCACACTTATAGTGATTTCGTACCCGAAATCCCATTTCTAGTTTTCCTTAAGCTAATTCCTACATGTCGTTCTAAGATGCTATTCGAGATCATCACATGATCTAGTCGATGTTATTGCATACAACTTTATTATCTACCTTAGACGTACTCCCGAACTCCTAACGAAATCTTCCAAAACTAGGAGCTCGTCGGCTTGGACTATACTCTATGACAAACGATCTCCTTCAGACAAGAAATGTTGATTGGTTTCTTTGGCTAGGAACATAGTCCACTGGATTTAAGGAGATTGATTAAGGAAATTTTTCTATGACGTCCTAACATAATCTATTTTTCGGGAAAATGCCTCTAAAAGGCTTAATCCATATCCGTAAATCACACACAAATCTAGATTATAACGATAATGTGACCAGGTGTTCCAACAATTTGGAAGTTAACGAAAGCTATCATTACGGGTTTATTGGTTCGAAACTTTGAAACCAACATTCTAATATTGGTGGCAGACTTATCATCAGACTTGCTCATCGACTAAAGAAATAAGTAAACTAAACATGTAGCCTATCCTGATGCCTAAAATACTACTGATACATTACTATTCAGATCCTAAGTTTGAGTTTGGAATCAAATGAGTGTTAATCTAGTTCGCTCCAACCGGAGCTCTGATACCAACTTGTAACGTACCAGTTTCAAACCCAAAATTTTCATTTTTATTCAAAATATTCATTTACATAGGAGTATTTATTACATTATGCGGAAACATGAGTGTGAATGCGTATGTGTACAATCGAACCTTTCTGTTCTCAAGAACCACTGAAGTTCTTGAAAAACATTTATAAACAATTAGGTAAGTGCTAGGTTAGTGAGATCCCTCAATATACCATATTCCACAATACATACACATAATGACCTTCAACATAAATCTGGCCCGCCCTTTGGCTATCAACATAAAGCTGGTCTGTCCCTTTTTGCCTACAACATATAGTTGGACCACACTTTGGCCTTTAGCATGAAGCTAGTCTGCCCCTTTTTGCCTACAACATATAGTTGAACCGTATTTTGGCCTTTAGCATATAGCTAGTCCGCCCAAATCTATTGGTCTTCAGCAAAGGCTGGTTCTCCCTTAAGTCCCATATAATATCAACACAATAGACAATTCACAAAACAAGCAAATAACTATCATAGTCTAATTGCCTAAGTGCATACTATATGGTATATAACTATATCCTAACATACATATGATACATATTGGAGTATACAATATAGTGAAAAGAACTCACCTGGACAATTACTTTCAAGATCAACAACTAAGCAGACGATCTTACTGACATGCAACAAGCCTAACGAGTATTAACCTATAATACTATAGCTTATTAGATTCTAAGGGAATCCGGTAATGTAGGCTAGGCCTATCAATAATCAAATGAATACCAATAGTTTTATTAAGTAACGATCAACCAGACAGGACAGTTGGGATGCATGATCATTTCAGCATATAACTTTTTTTGAAATCCAACAACCAAGCCAACGTGACCATTCTAGATACCTCTCCCGCAAGTAAATCAATCTGTATTATAACTTGGAATTACTAATAGTTCTTATTTATAAGTTCATAACAACGTATGACTCTAAATATAAGTTACACTGAAAAGACTAGAATGTAGATTAAATTACAGGGATTCTTAATGAAAACCAGAATCTAAATGCGCATAAGACTGACTCGGGATCTCCTACTTGAAGGCTACTAATCGGATGTGTACTCAGGGGCATCGCAAGGCTTCACTGCATGCCGAAAACTAAGGGAAAATGGCTCTATAGGGGAGAATATTGAGAGAGAGAGAGAGAGAAGTTTTATGGGCTGGATGTAAGGAACGTATCGGGGAATGAGCTTTAGTTATAGGACTTGGAAACGCACATCGGGAAAGACATGGTGCGCGTCGGGCATGTCAGCCTTGTTGGCTCCTCTGGTCTTATAACTCGTGTCAACGTTGCATTGCTCCACATCATTCCTTCTAGAAGGCTGCCATATTTCCAATTATAGTGGAGCCACATGTCGCGACCGTGTGGTGCCACTTCACCTTGACCTTTGGAGGAGGGGAATGGTCGACTTGCCACATGACACTCTCCGGTGCTGCCATGTTATCGGTGCTCAATGGGCTCTCCGTGTGTCTGGTTTTCCAGATATTCAGAACGGCGTAGCTTCTTCATACGAGCTCCATTTTTTATGTTCTTTATATCCCCAGAAAGCTCTCGATGAGTTATATAACTTTTGTTTAGATCCCAATAGCTAATTCTCATTGTATCAAAAATTTATATTTTTTATAGGCTTAGCTTGTTATATATCACTGCAGAAAGCATAACTCATACATACAGATTCCGTTATTGATGTTCTTTATATCGAAAGATTCATATTGATGAGATCTTCAACTCTAGTTTAAATTATTTTTCGTAATAATCTACCGTTCTAAAATTCGATTTTTGTGCGCACACAATTCGCCGAATCTTAGAAAAATGATAAGTTCCTCTAACGGGGTCAGATTTGGATGTTCTTTATATGTATAGATTCGATTCGTTAGATTATTTATCCTAAATAATCTTTTATCTAAAATTTCTATTTTAGATTATACTATAAAGCGAGAAACAGGGTGTTACATGGAAGATTAGAGTACCTACTAGATTTCCCAACGGAAGTTCATTGTAACATTTTTAGATCCATTAGTAGGTTTAGTAATAATTTTATGCTCAAGATGAATGATATAAGTGATTAACTGTGTCACCCTCAATGAATATGAATAGATGTCTACAAGAAAAATGATGATATTGAGTAGGCATCTAGAGTTTAATAAGTGTAGTTCATTTATGTATGTCATGGTTTGCTCATGTTCTTGTACCTAGTGTTGTTATTTGATTCATGATAATCATGTTAAAGAGAATCTAAAAGAAATTAAATGGATCATCATATAACTTATGTGGTACTTCGAGATACCATTTGAAATTTGAAAAACTATAAAAACAGGTTGTTGTATTTTATGAGTTAGATTATGTTGGTGACTTGGACAAAAGAACAACTCTCATGGTTTCCCCCATTAGTGATTACGTTCTGAGTTTGAAAAGCAACCTTGGAGGCTAACAATATCCTTTTCAACTACCGAGGTTGAGTATGTGGTGAATTATGATACATTTAAAGAAGATGCTTAGTTGAAAGGTTTGTTCGTTGATCTCTATAGAGATAGCTTTGGTATGTTATATTTTATGATAGTTAGGGTCCTATATGTCTTATAAAGAGTTCTATGTTTTAGGAGAGAACAAATCACATTGTCCAGAGAGATCTCTACATTATAAGTATTATTTTTAAGGGAGGTGATTATTTAACTTAATGAATTCATTCATCCACATAAGGTACCATACCCTTGTAGCTATCATACAAGTCAGTGATTCATATATTTTGTGTGGATGAGTCAATTTTCTTAAAATGCCATACCCGTTAGGGTTTCCACCAAAATTTTGGTGTTTTTGTTCTTTCACTTTTGCTTCTTCTTGACCTGTCGAATTGTAACACTTAATTACACCCTTGAAATCTATCACATACGATAGTACCATGTCCAACCAATGATCAATAAAGCAAGAAAAACTTGATACCCGACCAACTCGGAAGTTTGAGCAGGTTTACAATTCTAAGGCCGGATATGACAGATTCAAGGAGGTTGGCGATAACCAACAAAGTGCGAACGTCTACGCTTTTGTTATTCTTGACAGAGCAATGGGAAACTTTGGAACGTATATACATCCTTTACAAATACTAAATCCTATAAAACCTAGGAGAGTGATTATTAATTATATGTTAATTTAAAACATTTATTGAAACATATAAATAAAAAGTTGTATAAATATTTTTATTGTAATCTGCAAATCAACTATGTTTATAAACAGACATTCCCTAAATAGAATAAGACCAAGTAACTAATACAAGCAAAATATACAAATCCAGGAGTTGAGATTAATTTTCTTTCTCATGCATTACAACCTGATCAATATCATCAAATATTGTTGCTTTAACATCACATACACCTTATTCAGATTTAATTATAGTTATAATGATGTTATTCGTTTTTAACTTTTACCTCTAATATGGAGGCCGGCCATGAGCCCAGCCAAATGCTTCATGGTTCATCTGTCCACTACCATTAGGGATCAAATTGGGCTGCAAGTTATACCCGGGCATCGGATCACCCAACCCTCCTCCATCACCACCCATCCCAAGTGGCGGTGGTGATCCACCGCCACCCATCCCTGCCTGCACCACACTATCTGCTTCCTCTTCTTCCTCTACAGGGAGTCTTTCGTATGTAGCGTTGGAAAATGTGGCGGCAATTACCATCACAGGTCCGGAGGCCACCAACGACCCCACCACGCTCCCACCGACAACCTGACCTTGACCTCCCGCAAGGTATATAGTCAGACCTGTTGAGCCAGGCGGAGCAGGACCAGGTAAAAAAGCTCCGGTTAGTGACAAAATCTCGAATCGGCCTTGTAAGGCCATGACTGAACCAGGTGCTGTGGGCTGTCTTAGGGTTACATTCATGACTGTCCCACTAGCACTCATAACACAAACCCCTCTCTGTCGTCTCCTACTAAATTGAGCTATGCTCTCAGCTACATCAGTTCCACTCTCAACCTCCATGACATGGCTACGAAGCGCGTTGGGGCTGTCCCTTGTCACAAAAATCGGGGGCTTTGGCTTGTTCTTTGAGCCTGGTGGACGGCCTCTAGGCCGCCTATTTGAAGTCTCGATCCCACCTTCTCTTGGATCATCGCTGTTGTTGTCTCTTTCATCTTCTTCACTTCCAGTGTTGTTCTCGTTCATTGATATTCCCAGATCTGGCTTCTTTAGAGCCAAGGAACCACCTGATGGTGTTTCTACACCACCTAGGTTGGCCTGCCCAGTCCACCAGTTTGACATGCTCAATAACACAGATATAAAGACTCTTTTAAACTCTTCTCAGTCCCTCGTGATCTTGATGATTGGTGGAAATTGAAAAGATACACAGAACCGGTAGTACTAGCTACTGTGGTGGTGTAGAAGAAACAACTGCTACTTAATCTTGAAGATACCCTATGGGAGCTATGTGTGTCTTTTGTTGGCTTGGCTATTGGTTTTAGTGGGTGAGGGTATATCTAACAAAGTTTTTGTGATCATCTCTCTCTCTCTCTCTCTCTCTCTCTCTCTCTCTCTCTCTATATATATATATATATATATATAATATATATATATATATATTATATATATATATATATATATATATATATATATATATATTATATATATATATATATATATAATATATATATATATATATATATATATATATATAATATATATATATATATATATTATCTTCGTCACAATTTTTAGGAAAGTTTGAGTGAGCTACTTTGCTATATATTTCGTAATATGTAAATTGAGTAACAAGGGCTCATGTGACTCGTTCACATTCATCTTCCATCGAGAAAAAGAAAAACTAGAGAGGAGAGAAAGGGTCTTTGGAATTAGGGTTTGGAGGGGTGTGGGGTAGCGTGCGCATGAGGTAGTGGGGTGCACTCCTTTGTTTTCTCCTGTGGTTGGGATTTGAATGCAATTTTTGTCATTCATCATATAATTAAATAACTCCCAGCCGGACGCAACTTTGACTTGGATCCATGTTTGATTCCTCTTTCATCATATGCATAGTAGGGAGCGTTCACAATTTGTCTTTTGACTGTTGAATGAGTCATTAGGTAAGACAAAAAATTACCTCACTGGACATAACATTCCCCACTGCTTTGAGCTACCATCTTCTCTAGCTCTCTAGATATAATAAGCTTTTAAAGTAATAGTTTTCGTAAATTTTGAAATATTTTTATGAATATTTAAACTAAAGAAACTGCTTAAATGATAACTTGGTGAATGTTTTGAGTTCATTTCAGATTGACCATTGATCGTGTTATAACCGAAATTTCAGTTATGCAATATAATATTTCAATGCATAAATTTTTGTATATAGAAAAAATTTGTTTCATGTGAATCAACTCCCTTTTGAAATAACATTGTTTATTAAAAGAAATAAAACTTTAAGGTAATTTTTTTAATCTAGCAAAATAAATAAATAAGCGTTCATCTAATGAAAATAATAAATATAAATAATTGTTTTTTTTCTTGAACAACAAATAATTATTTGATGATAGAATAAATATAAAGCTCACAATGGATTGGGTTTGGATTCAACCCATTTATTAATTAAGTTGAAGATTTCAACCCAATCCAATCTATTTATTTAAATGAATTTATATTTCCAATCCAACCCAACATTTCAAATAAATGGATTATCACCGGGTTCATATGTTTATATAGTTTTCAACCCAACCTATTAAATAAATATGTTAAACTTGTGTTGACCCATTTTAATTAAAAATAAATAAATTAATTAACTAAAGATTATGCTACTTAAATAGTTATATATTTAAATAAAATTTCAAAGTATGACAAAAAACACAATCCTAAATTCATATATAAAAAGAACTTCTTAAAATAGTACTCATAGATATGTGTTTACTCATGAGTTTTGTTTCTTAAGCAATGTAGCATAAGAAATGTGTTAGTCTCTTTATTTATAATTGATTGTTTTTTCTTCAAAAAAATTTCTTAAGGGACACAAAAAGACACTGGTAAAAAAAATTGTATCCTACCTTGTCATGGTAAACAAACTCAATAAACTATTTTATTCTATAAATAAATATGCTAAAGCCATCTCTCTTACATCTTTATTCTCATGTTTCTTATTTTGATCGATTTTGACATCAACTACAATATTATTAGAACCATGAGGTCGACCATGGATTTTTTTTTTGTAGAATTGTCATATATTATACCTTTTATGATAAAGTCCACATTCTGAGCCTGACTGTAACATCTATAAAATTTCAAAAAAATTTAAAACTTTCTCAATCATTCAAAAACACCATTTAATTACAAAATGTTTTCAAAATAGTTTCATGTCAGAGTATCCTAGAAATCAAAATCATAAAATGCGAGGAGGTGCACGATTAAGCCTTCGCCTTTCCGCGATCATCCGAAGCACCTGAAACAAAATCCTAAATTGTAGGCTCAAAGCATAGTGAGTTCCCCCAAAATACCGATACATAATAAGTAGCACATATAATAACAATATGTAATGGGTCCACAACTCTACAGACTGGATTACCCCTGAGCCCACAATGCGAGTTTGGCTTGCCTTTCGGGCCTACAGCTTACATCTGGCTTGCTCCCGAGCCCACAACATAAGTTTAGTTTGCTCTCGAGCCCATAGCTTATGACTGGCTTACCCCCTTCAATCCCATGACTGGAATATAATTGATCAGCCCTTAGTACGAGTCTGACAAGCTCCCCTGGCCCTCAGCTCGCATCTGGAATACTTAGGAGTCCTCAGTATGAGTCTGGCCTCCCTGCCCTAAGCTCATATCTGGTATACTCCACTATTATTTGGTCACCGCACGAAGCAGTATAACTTCAACCCTACCCACAAAACATGTCGACATATAACAACTAAATACACATAAAGATAATCAGATAGTAACGCAGGTAGTCCTATAGATCTACCCGACTGGCACATCAAACTAGCATGCATAACTAACTCATACTTAACATATCATCAATTACTAGGATATTAGACCCAATGGGCCAGACTTGGTGCCTTCGACCCCTAAGTATAATGAGGACAACTCACCTCGTAAGTACTGCTGAAATCAAGAAGATATATCTCCAACTCTCGGCTCCAACTCAACTGCCTGCAACCATCATATATTTATTCCATTAAAAT